AGTGTCACCCTTGAAGGGAGCCGTAGATAGAATAGCGAGCATGACGTATGCAATGCTGAGAACAGAAATAGCTGTGAACGAGCAGCCAGAGGCTAGAAATGAGTTCGAAGTGATCCCAGGAGGACAAAGAAAGTTTCAATAATCTCTATTTCATAGCAGAAAGGTGCATCATTTTCAATAATTCACTTGGATCTTAGGCTTTATCATTTGAAAGTCCACTTGTATTAATGCCATTTACGGGCAAAAAAAAAAGTCCTTGACTATATATGCTATTAAATGGAATGAATTCATGTTTTGGCAGAAAATTCATCAATGAGTAATGCACGTACTCCATGGTACTTTCCTGGGGTACTCCTCCTTGAGACCCTAGTTCCTGGGCCCCAAACTTCAAGTCATCTGTTGCGGTTCCGCTGTCAGCCACAATCCCACACTGCCCTTCCAAGTCCTGCCCGGTGCCTGGCATTTAGTGGGCACTCAACAAATATTTGGAGAATTGAGCCAAATTGACTTCCTGAATGCGAGTCAGTTCCCAGAGCTCTACAGGTTTTCAAGAGACAGTATTTTCCTTATGGACAAGCTAGGAGTCAGTCAGTCATGTCTGAGAGCTCTGTAAACCTAGACCGCTTGTAAGAAAAAAGGTTAACACCACACCCTGATATGCCCAATTTGTGTCCTCAGGGAATATAGAAACAGTCAGGACTAACGATGAGGTGTAGGATTAACATTGTCAATTTCTTTTAACTTTGTCAATTTTTAAACATCTGTACTGACATATCATCCATATAACATAATAATCGCCTTCCTCAAGTGTATAGTTTGATGACATTTATTAAACTTCTGTAGATGTGAAGCAATGCCAGTTTTTTAACACTTGTATCCTACAAAATGGTCCTCATGACTTTATTTTCTTTACCCTTTGGAGCTGGTGTGCCATTAAACCAAAACAATCTCTTTAAATTCTCAGATTTACTATAGAGTCTATGAGGTATAGACCATGTTCAAACGTTCAATAAATATGGGAAGATAATGCCAAAGACAGCATTGTTTATATTTCCAGCTAGAAATTTCATTCCGAGTTTGTAAGAAGATGCAGATATTCTAACTCAAGAGTTGAATGTGTGCATCAGGGTTAATTAACAATGCTTCAAATTATAGACCACTGATGTTTCTTGTACAACCAGCCATCAATTAACTATGCTAATGAGAAAAGCAGGAAATGACTGCAGGAAAAAATGAAATCAGCAGGGATGAAAAAGAAAAACAACGCATTGCAGACCCAGTCTTAGCCACCAGTCAAAAGTTACCAGAGAGATTTAGAAGTACAAATTCTAAGAAGTTTTTTCCTTTTCCATATTGTCCTTTAGAGAAGCTATGTCCAAATCACAAAATGACCAAAATATACGATAGCCAAAGGGCTAGTCAGTGGCTCTAATATAATTCCTAGGGGAGCTTTAAAAAAATATCAGTGCAGGGCACCCGGGTGACTCAGTCGGTTGAGCATCTGCCTTTGGCTCAGGTCATGATCTCAGGGTCCTGGGATCGAGCCCCGCATCGGGCTCCCTGCTTCTCCCTCTGCCCCTGCCCCTGCCCCTCCCCTTGCTTGTGTGCTCTCTCTCTCTTTCTGACAAATAAACAAATAAAATCTTTAAAAAAAAATATCGGTGCAGAGTCCTCATTCCAGACAATTTAAATTAAAATCTCTGTGGAAGGGGCTACATTAATCCATCAACTGCATAATTTGTTTCAGGTTGATTCTATCTACTTTGTATTTGCTTTCCTCTGAGTTTTCTGGTTGGACAGTGAGGGTCTCAGGTAACCACTCTGGTTCTACTCCCACTCCCCTCACTCCACTTCCAGGTAGGAGAACCTCGGCGGTGAGACAGTCTTCTAGGTGATTCCTGCTGATTCAGTATTTTATTTTATTTTTTAAGGGTTTTTCTTTTCTTTTTTTTTTTTTTTAAGATTTTAGTTATTTATTTGACACCAAGAGAGAGACAGCGAGAGAGGGAACACAAGCAGGGGGAGAGGGAGAGGGAGAAGCAGGCTTCCCGCTGAGCAGGGAGCCCGACGCAGGGCTCAATCCCAGGACCCTGGGACCATGACCTGAACCGAAGGCAGATGCTTAACAACTGAGCCACCCAGGCGCCCCTGATTCAGTGTTTTAAAATACTTTCTCAATGGCTCTCTTCTTTGTCAAGGGGTAGGGTGGTTTTCCCCCAAGGAAATCTCTACTTGAGAGAATGCAAGGTACCTGAACATTATCTACCCCGCGTCACGATAGAAGACAATGAAAAGTTATCATCTGAAAATTACAATTCCCCACTGAGCTCCACGTGCCAGGCTCCTGGAAAGTGTTTCCAGTGAATTCCATGTGCCCCCAGTTCCAAGAAGAACAGCTGTGCTTCCTTCCTCCTTCCCTTAGATTTATAAAAATGTCTTTAAAGATTTTTAAAAAAATTTTAAAAGTCATAATCGTTTGCGTTATATGCTTACTGTAGAAAGTTCTAAAGCAGAACTACAAACAACAGAATTAAAACCACCCATGAGTCTCCCTCTTCCCCATTCCAGAGATAAACATCATTTATATCATTATTGTATATCCTTCCATTTTTTTCTACATATAGAAACGTGTTTTATTTTACAGAATTGGGTCATACTATATGCACACTTTTGTAATGTGCTTTTTTAATAGCTTGCTCTTATATTCTAAGCAGTGTGTGTGTGTGTGTGTGTGTGTGTGTGTGTACATGCATGTGAGATCAGGCTTCAAAATCAAGATTTCTGTGTATGCAGCAAAGCCCATCATAGCCATCAATTATTTAACCACATTAGACCCTGATTATTACTTCTGACATTTGCCTTATTTTTACTTTGTCCATTATTTATCAGAAAACAAGATCAGTCACTACCTTGGTGAGTTCGTGCAGATTATTCTTCCTGACTGATGTTTGACACTGTATCCATAATTACCCAGGGCCACACATAACTATGGACACTGAGCCACTCACTCTCTCGTCCCGCTATGTTCTCCAATATTTGTACCTATCACCTTCCCCAGAAGTGATGATTATTCAAAAATCCTGAGGCTTATTTCACCATTGTCTAAATGTCTACATATGGAGATTTATCATTTCAGTAGCTAACCTACATTGAGTGTTTACTGTGCTAAGAAGTGTCCATGTATTTTTTCATCTTACCTTTATGACAACAATGTAGGAGCAAATGCTTACAACTATCCCCATTTTTACAGGTGAAGAAAATGAGGTTTACTCTGAGTAACTTGCCTCATATCACAGCTAGTAAGAGGCAAAGCTGGACCTTAAACCCAGAGCTATTTGCTTCTAAACCATGTTTTTCATTATGATTAACCAAAGTCCGTATTTGTTCAAATTTTTTTACTTTTGCCTAATGTCCTTTTTCTGTTCCAGGATCCTAACCAAGGTACAATATTGCAGTTAATTATGATGTCTTCTTAGACTCCTCTTGGCTATGACAGTTTCTCACTTTTCTTTTTTCTCCATATCATTTAAAAAAAAAACCATACAGTCCCCTCTTATCCCCTATAAGACCACAAAAGTTATAATATTTTGTGCACTCCTATGAGGGACTCTGACCCTCACAGCAACCCTCCAGATCAGATATTATGATCCTCATTTTATAGATGAGAAAACAGAGTCGCAGACAGATGAAAACTAATGGCCCAGGTCACAAAGTTAGCAAGTGATGGAGCTGGGAAACCTAACTCAGGACTGTCTGACCAGGGGTGTCATGTTTTTTTTACTACTGTAGTTTAGTATATGTGCTTTTTTTTTTTTCTTAAGATTGAGAGTGTATGTGGCGGGGAGGGAGGTGGCAGGAATCTCAAGAAGGCTCCACCCAACGTGGTGCCAGAGGTGGGGCTCGATCTCACGACCCAGAGATCATAACCTGAGCCAAAATCAAAAGTCAGATGCTTGACTGACTGAACCACCCAGGCGCCCCTAGATGTGCTTTTAAAAAATAAATTTGAATGCTAATGTGAGAGTCAGTGTCATAAAGAAAACTCTGTATCTTGTCCAACTCTCTTAATACCCAAGCTCTTTCTATAGATTCCTCAACCAAAAGTTCTAAGCCCATGGTCAGAAGCCATCAGTACTCATCAGTTCCCTATTTCACAAAGCAACCAGTCAAGTTTTGAACAGTTCTGATCATTAGAGTTTTTTGTTCCTTCGAATGATTTTTGTCTTTTGATCTTGGTGAGGCTTTTATGAGCCAAACACAATCATCTACGTCTTCTACCTAAGAGCTCCGCAGTTGGCCAACATGTCTCCCCACCACCACCCCACTCTCTTCTCCTGGGAGAACATGGCATAGTTTAGACTTCCCTCAACATGCTGGTGCCCTGCGTTAAACGACAGTTCCTTGCAGAATTCCTATTTAGTTGCAAGTCCTTATGGTGCTTTATAGCATAACAATAAGCATGCCCTAAATACTCGGGGACCAATAATTGCTGTTGAGGGTCTCCTTGCTTACTGGTAATCTCCTACCACTACCAGTACCACCCCTCTCCACCTCACTCCCACTTTCCTCACACACTATTTCTAAGTCATCAGGTCCAAAGGGCCTTCACAGATACCTCTTCCGACACCTTAATTGCAGGAGCTCTCTCTAGAGGGGCACAAGTTTGGGTGTTCAGTCAAAGGTAAGGGGGAATATTTTCTCTGAGTTTGGCAAACAATTTAAAGGGCAAAGGCAGTTAGCCACGGAGGGCCCAGGACGGCGCCTTTATCCCCAGTCCCCCACAACGCGCAGGCAGACGAGGGCCCCCCGTGGGGTGCGCGGGGGCGGAGCGGGGCGGGGACCCGCGCGCCTGCAGGGGGGCGGGCTCCGCGGTCGAGGCTTGGGGACTGTAGCGACGCCAAGGCGCTGCCACCCGCCGCCTCGCCAGCCGCCCTCGCAGACAGGTGCTCAAAGCAAACCAGAGAGCAAAGAAGCAGGCGAGGGAGCCAGGAAGGAGCCGCTATCAAATTTCCCGGGTGTTCCTCGCCGGCAGGTGCCTTAGCTTCCTGATCAGCACCATGGACAGCGCCCGCGAAGGGACTCAGGGGCGCTTGGACGCCGCGGGCTTCTGGCAGGTCTGGCAGCGCTTTGACGCGGATGGTAAGTGGAGCACGGCACTGGCACATTCAGGTGTAGACGTGGCTCCAGCCCAGCCCCTCTGAAAGGACCTAGAGTTTCCCCTTTCCGTCGCAGGGAAAGTTGTCTTCCAGCGTTGTTAATGCGGTATACTAAACCAAACAGATGTTAGGTATACTGGAGCTACACATCTAGACGTCTGTGTAAGTTCAGGGTCAGGGGAGGGACTTGGTCCCGCTCCCAATCTCTGTGTGTGTGTGTGTATGTGTGTGTGTGTGTGCGCGTGTGTGTGTGTGTGTCTAAGATGATATGCCATATATGACACAGATCACTACATATATTTAGGCTTGTGGCTGGCAGGCAGCTGTCTGAAGTCAGCCCTCCCTAAAGGTGCTCTTCAAAGGGAGGATGAATTTTACCAATTTTCAAAAAGACACTACTCCCCCACCCCAAAAAAATCTACTTGAAAAGAAAATGGAACCACTTAACATGTGCTTTATCTTTAGTAATAATTCAACAACCATAAAGAAAATAGCTAAACTGTGTTTTGACTCTGCAAAGTAAGATTCAAGAATTACACCTGTTCAATTTTCCCAAGCTTCCAAGTCCTTGCGTTGGATTTCTTCTAAAATTCATGTTTGTCTGTGGATTAAAATGTATGTATTTAATCGTTTTCCTTTTCCAAATATTCATATCAACCCAGCACAGAGCATTTACTATTGAATGTGTGTTTACTATTCAAATCCATGTCTCCGAGAGGTTAGACACTGGCACATAGTTATTGGAATAGTGGAGAACAGTATCCATGGGGATTCTACAGATAGTGAGATTCGAAACAATTTAGATAAATAGTAAATGTCACATGTCATTCTATGTAAGTGACTATCACTTATGCATCTCTTGTTGCATTTAGAAAAAGGTTACATAGAAGAGAAGGAGCTCGATGCTTTCTTTCATCACGTGTTGACGACACTGGGTACTGAGGTAAGTACTTGTGCCATGAAGCATTAATTTATGTGCCTTTAGCAAAATACAAGAAGCATCAAAGTCTCATGTTGATTTGCACCTATTAATCTCATCTGACCTCTTTTCTTCCTTGCCTGTGTGTAATTTTTCTCCATCTCCTAGCAACATGGAGGAATTGAAGCAGGTTTTATAAAAGGTACAACTGCAGCGTTAGATGTGCTGGCTACTGACTTTCAGTGTAACATCTGTCATCCCCTCGAGAGACCCTAACTATGGATTCAAACAACTCTGTTTTGCACGTCTCCTTGGTTACGTTTCTGCTAATGGATGTAAACATGGAGATAAGGCAGCTCACTTTGATCAAAAAGGTGGAAGAGATGTTAAGAGCTCTGAGGTTCTGAGTGGTTAGTGCATTTGATACTCCTTTGATAGCAGACCACAAACAAATAGATCTTTTAAAATCATTTTCCATTATTATTTTATTAGAAGAGGTTATAGATTCCTTAGGGAACGACAAACCAGAAAATAATCAATATACCCAGAGCCCAGGTATAATAAACGTAAACCTATCTATTGTGTCCATGTCCCTCCCTGATGGTGAATCTGGCCTCGAGAGATGGAGATTAACTTTTGAAGACCCCTGTACCAAAGCAGAGGAAAAGCTCATACAAAGACACCCCAGCCTAGGAATGGGAGAGCCTAGTCAAAACTCCATCAGGGGACACGTGGTAAGAGGAGTAGCTCTGGAGACGGTAGCATTTACAGTGAATTGTGGAGATCACTTATCCTCAGGTAGAGAATGTTTACACAGAAGAATAAAGTGCCTTGCACTTTTCCTGTAGGAGCCCAGTGAAGGGAACAAAGCTCTCTGTGCCACCGAGGAGTGCTTCGTGGGGGTGTTTCTGGGCTGGGGTTGGGGGCAGCCAGCTGAGAACAGAAGAGGAGCCCTCTGCCTCCAACAGCCACAGACCTCGTCTCTGTGTGTCTCTGTCTCTGTGTACATAGATCTCTGTCTCTCTTTGCCTCTCTTATTCTTTTGATGTCTGTCTGTCTCATTTTTCTGCCCATTTCTGTTTCTCATTCTGATTCCTGGCCCCTATCTTCCAGCGGCTCTTGACTTTGTCTCTGACCTCTCTGTCTCTCATCTCTCTGTCTGGCAGGTCTCCCATGTGTCACCGTCCCTCCTGTCTCCCCGTTTCTCCGCCCCTCAAAGCTCTCTTGCCCCTCCTTTACCTGTCTTTTCTTTTCCTTTCTATTTCTCACCTGTCTCATCTTTTTTTCTTTGCCCCCCATTTCTTATCTTTCATCAGTTTCTCTTCTCTTCTCCTTCTTTCCCTTAACACTCTCTGTCTTTGTCTCCCGGCCTCTCTCTGTCTCAGCCTTGCTCCTACTAACTGCCATAAATACTAGGGCTCAGAGCGTTCCAGAACCCATGAGTCTGACGCCGTTTTGTCATGCAGGACAGGAGTGTTTGAGGAAAACAGATAGATGAAGTCAGAACCACTCCAAGTCTTGGAATAAACGGGATGGTCCGGGAACCCAACCCAACCTCCCAGCGACTTAGAACTTCACACGCTTCCAGAAGCTCCTTGCCTTCGTGATTTATAGGAAAGAAGGAGAAAAGTTGCTGTCCGTGTTGAAGGAGTATCTTACTCTCAGTCATGAAGTGGGGGTGGGGCTACTAAAAAGCAAGGGTCTGCTCTGAGCCAAGGACACCGGGAGCCAACTTCCTCTGGGGCTTTGGCTAACATTGGAGACATTGTTGTCACTGGTGACGGAGTAGAGGGGTGCCTCTCTTCCTGCTGGGCACTCCGTCTCTTACCCCCCCTCAGAGCCAGTCTGGGGACTTGCCCTCTCACACAGGGGCAGGCATGGTCCTCGCAGGACAGGAGACAAGGGACTCACCAGTGTCCTGTGCCTCTGTGTGTCCCATCCCCAAGGAATTTCAGTACATTTGGGGTTTGCCTAGGATCTTGCATTTCTAAATCACCCTAAGTCAGTGGGTATCTCTCTCACCCTCTGTCCCTCCAGGAACAATGACTGCCCATTGGGGGGGGGCCAGGGCGGGGTTCTAATAGACTCAGGCTGGTCTCGCTGGGCTCAGGCAGGAACCCCACCTTCCTCTTCTCAGCGCGTGCCTGCGAGAGAGCTTTTGAAGCAAGATCAGTTGTATAAGCCATTGTCCAAAAATGTCATCGTCTGCCATTATTCTGTTTCAAAATGCTGAGACCTTACCCTGGGGAGTGCGGTTGTAGGAGCCTGTGCTGGGCCCGCCATGCTCCCTGGACAACCATGATTAAAGAAACTAGTCCTGATTCCTGATTCTCGGTTTTTTTTTTTTTTTCCCCCTGCCAAGAAAGGAGTAGGCCCTAAGCATGTCCTTAATCAGAGGGCGGGACTTCCCAAGTGGACGTGCGTCAAGCTGAGTGACAGTCCCCATTTGTGACCCCTGCCTCCAGTCAGGAATGCCCCAGCAGGTAGAGAAGCAGCTGCAGGGAGGCCTCCAGGATTGGCCCTGCGGTGTAGGAGTGGCAAGCCGTTCTTCAGAGGCCTGAATAGCTCTACTTTCCTCCCTGATTAGCAGGTCACAGAGGCCTCGGAGGAAGGAATTTTAGGGCTGCCAACAGCAAGGGGCCTGCTGCTCAGGCTCGGAGAGGAACTTGTGTGATCCCCTGCTTCTCGGGGCCTCGGCAGAGACAGACTTAATGGAAGCATCGGGTATTTTTGCTGCCGTTCCTGTTACTCACCCCTTCTCTCGGCCCCCCGCCTTTTCCTTTCAAATGCTCAGAACTGGCCTCTGAACTAGGTCTGGAGAGAGCGAGTGCAGAGCAGAGCATCACTTTCTGGGGCTGTGTCCACGTTCTTCCTGTCAGATTCTAGCGCATCCTGGGCCTCCTTCCATGCTTCAGAGACGATGGGGCCTAGAGTCTCACAGAAAGGGGGCAGGGGGGTGCAGCTGGGAAATATAACAGAGGCAGCCCCTAGGCTCTGTTGCTTTAGGTCCAAGGGATAGATAGTCATGGGCTTTGGAGTTAGCGGACAAAAGTCAAGGTTCTGTGACTTCAAACTAAAGGCAGCACATAGACTCTGGCCACAGCTTCTTTGGCTTTACGTTTGTTTATCTTGAAACTTAATTTTCCACCCACGTGGCCTATGTCTGCTAACGTCCTTTGGGAAGGCCCAGCCCACCATAAAGAACCATGTATTCATTCCACAGATACTCTATTTCAGAGATACAAAAATGACGGCTGTCTTGGAGATCTCTTAATCTAGAAAGCCAGCCTGAAATGCAAAGAGAAGACCCACCTTGTGGAGTGATCCCCATCACATTTTTTTCTATATGGTGCACGTATGCAACCCATAAACCCAAACCCAAACACACACAATCCGAGGTGCCAAGACTAGAGATGCTGATCTCTCTCTATGTAGTGGGGCGTCTCAGGAGGAAGCCTGGTTGGCAGGGATAGTGCGGGATCGGATTAGGGAAAGTATTAGGGGGACTGAATTTAGCATGGCTGCTGGGGTCTGGAGTCTTGGGATCTGGCACTGCTGGGGAGTGTTTCTGCCTCTCAACTCTTCCATCAGAATTTCTTCTCCACTGTTGATTATATATGTCATATTTCTTTGTACGAACCCTTCAGTCCACTGACGAAGAACAAGTTAGTATGTAGAAAAGGTTGTAGGTGGAAGCGAGATGAGGCATCTTTGATAATTCAACAACTACTTTATTGCTTTTTTTCCCCCCTTCTAATTATTTTTTTCCTCAGTGGACCCAAGGAGAAGATTAAGGGATGAACGATGGCAAACTGGCAGTCTAAAAGAGCTGGGCATTTCACTTAGAAACAGAACAAAATCTCTGAGTTCTTGGGAAGAGAACTTGGGAGTCTTGCAAATGAGCTTAATGGAGGTGTTGTCTGTAGACAAGCTGACGGGATCGGGTTACCTCAGTCCGAGGCCCCTTCAAACCTAGTCTCTCAGCTTCTCTTCCTTCCTTCATGTTTTAGGAGTTCACTAGCCAGTAGGTCTCACCTGCTCAGGATTCTGATCAGTGGTGCTTTGCTCAAGAAATCTCCACCACTGTTTTCCCTTGTTCAACACGGGAGGCTCGCTTTAAATGGCTAAGTAACCTGCTTTCCGGGTACACTAACGTAATGATCAGGCTCTATGCTCTGAATATTTGATATCCTGACTATATTTTTGGAATCCCGGTGGCTTTAATGTGGTTCTGTCTGGCCTGTTGTAGGAGGCAGGCATGGAAGAAAATGTGCGGGGAATGAAACAGCAATTAATGGCTGCCCAGGATGTCTCTAGAGATGGGCGCGTGCAGATGAAAGAGGTACCTTTCCGGACTGCCCTTTTCCCGACTGTCCCTTTCTTGACCGAGCCTTTTTGGGCTGTCATTTCCCCTGAAAGATAATGCAAATCTTACATCTGATTGGGAAGCTAGAACTCTCTGCCAGGCCAGTGACCTACCCAGCATTTTGAAGTAATCACCTCTCCTTTTCCAACTGCTTAGCAACCCATATCAGTTTCTTTAGGTCAAGCAACATTTATAGTTATTTTAGAACTGGGGCGTTGATATGCTGGAGGCCTTGCAGTTACTCAATCCAATGTGTCTCTTTGCTGTGTGCTGTTCAAATCCAACCTGGGTATAAGGACAAACTGACTAACAAGAAATCAGTTGAAACTCCCGCAGCAGGTCCCAGCGGAGGCTGGGGAGCTCTAGCCCTGGAGATCATTCGGGACAAAACGGACAGCGGCTATCTCACTTCAGCTCAGCCCACATGGTACCTTTCTCTTCAGAAAGTTATGATAACAGGGCAAGATAATGTCTCCTTATAAAAAGTAGACGTGTTCACCAGGAAGGAAGCAGCCTCCTCAGAACACTAGATGTGTGAGCGTTTCCAAAATTTTCACCCCAAGGCAAAAATTATATATGTCACCAACAACTATAGTATAATTGATGTAAAGCAATCTGCGTATCCATTCAAGGAAAAGCAAGTGGAAGCCTCAAGCTAGAAATACCGAAGGACACGTGACCGCATGTTCACTGCTGCGTTCTCCAGGCCACAGAGCAGAGCAGAACATTTAGCGATGCCCAGTAGATACGTGTGGGCTTAAGAAAGAATAAATGAAGCATGGGAAATGCCCGGAAACGATGGTGTTATCTTATTAACAACAGGCAGAGCTTCCTGCAGAACTTGGAAACCTGGCAACAACTTTGACACCCAGGCCAACCATCAGTCGTGGAGTCCCGCAAATGCACATAACGGAGGTGTTGTTTGTAGACAAGCTGATGGGATTGGGTTGCATCAGTCCCAGGACCCTTAAAGCCTCTGGAGTCTGTGAGCTTAAGGAGTAGCTGGGCTCCCCCATCTCCTCCTGCTGTCTTTGTCTCACTCCAATCACAGGTCGTTGAGACAAAAAAAATCAGCCCACCTGGAAACATTTTAGATATTCTAGCACAACTAAGATGAGGCAGAGGTTCCAACTGAGACCCGAAGCCAGGCTGGTGGGTTATCTGTGCATCTGATTTGTCCGGGCCCCTCTGTGCCGCTCCAATCAAAGCTGAAGACAGACTGGGTTCTAAAGGCTGAGGACCGCTGAGTCACATTTTAATTTGGTTTCTTGGCTTGTGCTACCCCGTGTGAAAAAGCATGTAGTTCTGAAGAGCAGATGCCGATTCTAGCTGACCTTGGCCCAGACCCCTGTGGCAGGGGTGAGGCGGGAAAGAGGGGAGGCGAGGCAGCGCCAAGTCCACGTGGTGAACATGAGACCGTGGCCAAGTCACTTCTCCCGAGCCGCTGGTTCATGGTCTTCATCAACACGATATTAGCATTTATTGAGGGTTGAATTTGTACCAGGAATTTTGCTCAATGTTGCTTATAAGTAGCGCCTCATTTTACCTTTGGCTTTCACATAAGCACCAGGATATAAATATTACAATCCCCGTTTTACAAGTGAGGAAATTGAAGCACAGAGAGATCAATTAAATTGTGCCAGATCAAATAACAGGCGAGCGATGGAGAAGGAATTTGGATCCCCTCTGAAGCCTGTCACGGACACCGCACTGTCCTGCTCCCATGAATAAAAGGGGGTATTTATACTTACCAGTAGGGCCGGTATGAGAATTTAGTGAGATCATAAAAGCACGTCACCAGTGCCTGCCACATCGTAGCTACTCGATATATGATATTCAAAATATGAATGCTCTCGTTCACACGGTAGGTCCTCGAGCGGACCCACGTCCAACTAGAGAAGTGAGTAGGTGTGTGGGCTCATGACGCTGACCCGCCACCAACAGCCTCTGTCTGGACTCACTGTGGCGGGGCACTCACCGCGGAGATAGAAGGAATGGCCATTCTTTACGGGGGACAACGCAAGCCAGCCCTAGCACAGTACGGAAGGGTGGGATGAGCCCAGCCAAACACACCCACGTGCTGAAGCGAGAGTTACAGGGGAAGAAAATGTCACCGTTACTCAGGGGAGAAGTGACATCAATCAGTAGAAGTGGTGCTCAGATAGAAGGAGGGAGAAATGGATCATACCTGGACCAACGATGGGAGCATCACAGAGACACCGATAATGCAGAAGAAGAGAAACAGCCGACACTCAGGACACCGACGGCAGTCGCTCCTCTCTGTGCCCGTGGCGTGAAGAGACCGTGTGTACAGCATCTCCCCAGCATGGCAGGAAGCTGGAAAGTAGGGCCCTAGTCCGGGTGCCACCACTTACTGGCCACATAACTAAGGCAAGCTCCAGTTTCCTTAAGGAATAAGTAATAATGGTCGTGTGCTCTGTACTCTCTAGGTTGTGGTTAGGATGAAGCGAGTAAGCATCTGTAAGAATTTAGAACAGTTCGTGGCACATATAAGAATTATTCACTCTTTTAATTTTCTATTATATGATAGAGTTAAATTATTTTAATATGGGAGAGTCTTAAAATAGTGCCTGGAACATATTAAGCACTGACAAATTTATTATTAAAATTAGGATTATGATTTTGGATTGTAAACTCATGGGAGGCAGAGGTACCCACCGTGTTCCTTACCTCGTAGCGGTGCAATGCTGTTTGAAAGCATCAGTGAGTCCAAAATGGTAGTCGAGGGCCCAGAACTGCCATCTGAGCTCTCAGTCCTGAGGAATCCAAGCCCTCCTGTCCTATAGTATGTCCCACCATGTCTTTTACCCAGGGGGCACTGGCCAGTGTGGCTGACGGCTATTTCTCTCTGTTTCTTTAGCTTGCCAACATGTTCTTGTCTGAGGATGAAAACTTCCTTCTGCTCTTTCGTCAGGAAACCCCCTTGGACAGCAGTGTGGAGTTTATGCAGGTAAGTGTCGGGTTGTGTCTCTACAGAGCATGAGGCCTGAGAAGAAGCCAGGATCCCAGCCACCGACCGTGGCGGCCCCCACTCCTGCCCAGTCCCCAAGCCCACAGAGGATAAGACCAAGCAAAGAAGCCCTTGGTGACGAGCCAGAACTCAGGCCCCAAGCCCCAGTGTGTTCTGTGAGCTGCCCTAGGCTGCTCCCCAGTTGACAAAGTCCTTCAGCCTGGGCTAGAGGAGGCCCAGACAACAGGCCGGCAGGCCGACATGGAGGAATATGACGGGGGTCGGCTGGGAACTCCGGAGCCCAGAGAGCAGGTGCCCCATCCAAAGCAGAGAACCCGTTGGCGGGGCGGAGGGGGGGGGGCTCCGGCGAATTGCTGTCTTCTCGGAATGCTGTCTGGACATCTAGACTCTACGTGAAACTACTTGTTTTTATATGTTGGCCACTAATTCTAGTTTTGAAGGTATAATACCATGAAAACGTAACTCACTAGTGAGCCCATCCAGCCTTCTGTTTGCAATTGCTGTGCTCGAGAGAAAGGGGAAGGCAGTCAGCGGTTCCTCTTAACTCCTCTTTCAGCCTCTAGGTGTTACTGTCTGTTGGAGAAAGAAGACTAGGAAAGTCAGAGCAGACTCAAAGCAGCTACTGCAGCTGGGGGCCCATTCTTGAAACAGTTACTAAGTCCCCATTTAGGAGATAATAACTTAGTACCCTTTTGCACGACTGCATTTACTTCGGACCAAGTGAAAGTCATAAAATGGAGCAAGCACGTGCATAGACTATTCACAGGAGAGATCTGAATGGACAATAAATGTATGCTGGTTGCCAAGAAATGCAAATTTAAAACAACTAATTTTTGCTAATTAAAGTGGTAAGGATTTTAAGAGGATCAACAAAACACGTGGTGCCAGCAAGGAAGCACTGAGATTGACGCTCACGATCTGTTGGTAGGCGTGCGCACTGCAACAATTTTATGAACAACAATTTTGCAAAAATGTAATCAGGATCCTTTAAAATGTCATTATCTGAAGTTAAAAATATCTTTACCTTCTGACTTAATAAGTCTACTGCTCTAGGCATCTATCTTAAGGGTATAATCAGAAATGTTTGTATTTGGAGGAAATGCGTTAAAATGTTAAGAGGCAAAATTATGCGTGCATTATGATCTTAGTATTATTTAAAAAATGGTTCACCCTAACACCTACGTAAATTAGACCATAGGTAAATACACATAAGATAAACACTGATTGCTTTTAAGTGGTAAGATTTCAGATGATTTTCATATTCTTTGTACTTTTATGTTTTCCAATTGTGCACAGAATCATAATTATTTACAAATTATTTTAAGTGACATTTTCAAAATAATTTTAATGGTGCTTAAAAATGCTCTCAGAAAATTTTAAATGAAAACAATAAACAGATTGCCCAAGTGTATAGACAATATGACCTCCAAGTTAATCTTGTCATGTGTGTAATAGAAATGTAATGGAAAGGAAACATACAGATATACCTGGGATAGGTGTATATCTGCAGAGTGTAGTTTTCTCCTTTTTATAGTTCATTCATTTTGTACAGTGAATATGATTTACTCTTATAATCAGAAAAACAGTATGAAAATGTTAGGCCTTGCATCGTATAGAATAATTTTGAGGAATGGGAAAAAGGAAAGAGCACTTATGGAGCTTTCCTATCTTTTTGTTTTTCTTTTAACTTATTCCATTTACCCCCTCCCTTCTAGTTGGTCAGTTGTTTCTGTAACAAAGAGCTTTTCCTTTCTCTACCCAGTTAAAAAATATATATATCACTTCAGACTCTTGATTTTTTTAAGTTAAATTTATTATAACCTATTACTATCCTCTATATATTTTTAAAAATTCTAGGTTAATGCCTTTACGTTCCCCCTGAGCCATAGGACCTTAAAACACTTTAATGCTGACATATGGCGCCCAACTCACGTGTTGTGATTGTCCGGGATATGAGTTCTGTCTTGTTTTCTTTAACCCCACAAATTTTATGCAGTCAAGATTTGTTTTCTGCACCATTGCTTTTTGTGACTTAGATTCTCCTTCTTTGTGTCCCTCCTTCCCCGAGTATTATCCTGAACTAAATTCTGTTGGTAAAAACTTTGCCTGGAAATCTCCTTATTTTGCTTACATCCTTTAAAGCTAAGCATGCACGTTATTTGCATAAAAGCCTTTGGGCCTCCAGTGGCTGGCTCAGTTGTAGTGAAATTGTAAGATAAAGTAGATGGAAAATGTTTGGAGAATAACATTTAAAAAAAGCATGGAAATGGTTTTACTTATTATTTGAAATTCTCATTCTTAGTTTTGGTATATTCACACAGTAAAAGTTCGACTATAATTTATATTTAAATAGTTGATTTTGTAAGTCTGGCTGAGTTCAGGGACTGCACGGCATGAGGTTTCTCAGGCTCCTGAGCAGATATTGCCCGTCAATAGCCCCACTATCCCTGCGGGGTGCTCAGGCAGGGCTGGCTCACCGGGGCCTAGAATTAAGGTCCCTGCAGTGGGAGACTCAGCTAACCCATTCTACATTTACAGAAAATCTGTCAGTTAAAAAAAAAAAAAAACCTTAGGAGCGCCTGGGTGGCTGAGTCGGTTAAGCGTCTGCCTTCAGCTCAGGTCACGATCCCAGGGTCCTGGGATCGAGCCCCGCATCGGGCTCCCCGCTCAGCGTTGAGCCTGATTCTCCCTCTCCCTCTGGCTGCCGCTTGCCCTGCTTGTGCTCTCTCTCTCTCTCTCTCTCTCTGTCAAATTAATTAATTAATTAATTAAAAATAAAAACCCTTAGTGCTACTTTTTCTTTTTAAGATTTTTTTATAGTAGGCTCTACACTGAGCATGGAGCCCCAAGCAGGGCTTGAACTCACAACCCCGAGATCAAGACTTGAGCTGAGACCAAGAGTCGGATGTTTAACTGAATGAGCCACCCAGGCGCCCCTACTTTTTGATTCTGTACCGTAGTTGGAAAACTCGCCAACCCGTGAGGCTTATACGTGGAATAATCCGAGGTGGTCCAAATCACATCAATTATTAGAGAAAGCAGTTCAGTGTCTCTAAAAGTGTTCGGTTGTTCTGTCTTCCAGTTTGGTAATCGTATCTTCAGCGGAATGAATGCTGCCCTTAAACCCTAAAACCAACGAAATGCTTGTCTTGTCTCTGGGAATTCCCCAGGATGTTTTATTCCCTTTACCCAGAGCCAAGGCCACACAGGGAAGATTCCTTAGGGCCTTCCGAAAGCCCAGTTTATTTTGGAGGGGTTCACCCTTTCACTAAGGGTTTTAGTTTTAGGCAGGTGCCTCAATTTGACAACCCCCACCTTTGCCTGGGCCCCAGGATTTGCCTCCTGTCCACCTTGTGTGCAACCTCCTGATGAAGCTGCAGGCTACATTCTCAGCGTCAGCGCACGGACCCGGGACAGACTCCGGTGTCGGTCCTGCGTGACCTCCCTGGGTGTGTGCTTGTTTACATGGCTGATGGATTTATAAATGGATGCCTGGCTTTCGTGTGTTTCAGATTTGGCGCAAATACGATGCAGACAGCAGTGGCTTTGTTTCAGCTGCTGAGCTGCGGGTACGTGTCGCTAGGGGCTCTCGCTGGGGGGAGGGGCTGGTTCGTCGCCGGGAATTTGTTTTTGTTTTTTTTTAGATTTATTTATTGATTTATTTGAGAGAGAGAGAGAGAGAATGAGAGAGAGAGCACATGAGAAGGGGGAGGGTCAGAGGGAGAAGCAGACTCCCTGCCGAGCAGGGAGCCAGATGTGGGACTCGATCCCGGGACTCCAGGATCGTGACCTGAGCCGAAGGTAGTCGCTCAACCAACTGAGCCACCCAGGCGCCCCCGTCGCTGGGAATTTGATGTATGTGGATCGTGAATTTCATTTCTGTGGGCCCAAAAACATGGATTTGAATGTGTTACTTAAAAAAAATGTATTTGTGTTTAAATGGTTTAGAAAGTACAGGTGTTATTGCTCTCTCTTGGAAAGACACATAATTGAGGATTTTTGACACTTTCCGTGCCTGGAGCTATTCTCTGGGTTCTGTGAGCTCCCTTTAAGCAGGGGCAGCCTTCCCCATTCTTGGATTTATGGCTTGCTAAAAGCATTTTATTTTCTCTGTAAAAAAAAAAAAAAAAAAAAATGAACCACAATCCTTGAAGTAAGGCCTCCCGAGATCTTCCCATATAAGATGTGGCTCTTCTCTTGGTGTCACAGAACTTCCTCCGAGACCTCTTCCTCCACCATGAAAAGGCCATTTCTGAGGCTAAGCTGGAAGAATATACTGGCACCATGGTAAGTAACTGAGCGATGGCATCTCCACAGGGCAGCTTCCCCCTTCCCCCTCGGGGTCCAGAGACAGAGGCGCAGAGTAAGTGCCCCAGTGAACCTCCGCAGACCAAGTGAATGCAAGAGAAAACCTCAACTCTCAAAACACTGGCTAAAATTGAGCCACTTTAGCCCCTCTCTGGGGCTGAGGCTGCATGTATTGGAAGGTGGGAAGTGGTTCACCCATCCTTGGGAGACCAGAAGTCCAGTCAACATCAGGTTACTAGGCACCAGGCCAATGAGCTCAATCCTACTGGAAGTCACATAGAAAAGGGTAAACATGGATAATCAGAAACCTAGACAACCAGGACCAAACACATGGGAGCCGCTTCTTGGCACAGTGGATGATTGTATTCATTTAGTGTGTTGATTTAAAGTGGCGGAGAGTCAGATAGATGGGAGATGTGTGTCCCCCCCACTGCCACGTCTTAGCTATGACCTTGGGAGATTGTCAAGCCTCTCAATTTTACTTATTTCATCTGTAAAATGGGGGGTTAATAGGACCCTATTATGGAAAGGGCAAAGGGAGTTGATGCAGAGGAAGCACTGGGCAAGTGTCTGGGACATGAGACATGTTAGCTCTTATCGTGGTGCTTGCTATGGTCCTTGTCATTATTTTGCTTGCCCCTGGCAGCATCCGTGTGCTGAATGACCCTGAGATTATTTAGGTGTCAAAGCTCCCTGAAAAATGGTGGTGTGGGAGAAGATGCCTCTGGCGACTGCGTCCTCACCTTCAGTTTCAGCTAGGAACATGGTATATCTCTCCTGGTTCCCATCAACAGCCTGGGTCCTCTGCCTTTCATGTCCTATGAGCCCCTCCCTGTCCCCAGATGCGCGCTCCATTCCAATCCAACTCTGTAGGTGGTTTCTCAGTTAATAAGCAAGGAAATGGCTGTTGAAGCCTTAATTACTTGCAGGATTGTTACATCTATTATATGAGGCATTCTTGACCAGATTGACGTTGCTCAACTTCCTGGTGCACAGTCAGGAGCACGTACCACCGGGAAGAGGTCGTGAATTCCCATAAAATGTGTGCCACTAGGTTGATCTACTGAGGGCTTTACGTGATGTTTCCAAATATGGTGTTGTTTCTGATGACTTCTCGGCAGGGTTGGCATTGTTCGTGCTATTTCATGCTATATATCTGATGCTGGAGGCTTAGAAAGGGTAAGTGACAGAGTCAAAAGTTGAATTCTTTTTTTTTTTTAAGAATTTATTTATTTGAGAGATTGAAAGAGCCTGAGCAGGGGGAGGGGCAGAGGGAGAGGGAGAAGCAGGCTCCCTGCTGAACAGGGAGCCCAATGCGGGGCTCAATCCCAGGACCCTGGAATCATGACCTGAGCCGAAGGTTGACGCTTAACCGACTGAGCCACCCAGGTGCCCCGCCAAGTTGAATTCTTAAATGCACTTCAAAGATCGGGTAACTGGGAAAGTTAAGTTACCAGACCAAAGGCCCCAGTTAAACTGGAAGCTGAGCGCTCTTGGTTTTCAGCCCCGGCCCCTCCCGCTGCTCACTCCGCACTCCGGGTACCCAAATGCTGCCCCCAGTCATGGGCGTCTGGGGCAAGGTGTTCTTGACCATGAGGACTTGTAAATGGCCCAGACAAGAGAAGCCCATGCCAAGGACAGAATCAAACCCCAGGCCAGGATCTCAATGAAAGAAATAATTCGGCTTCTTGCTCTGTGGTGTTTGAGGTCCCGAGTCAACACGTACTCGGCTCTGAAGGGTGAAGTGGGAAGCCCCTCGAAGCAGGAAGCAGTTTCCCAGTACGGGGAGGTCTCTGGGTTTTTCCCACTGGATTTCCAGTGGAAACCGCCAGCCAAATAAAGACTATGAAAGGGACGATGTCACTGTAACTGCCTGGGACAGAGAAAGACAAGCGGATCATGTTTCCAGCTGAGCACTTTTCCAACCTTGAATTCACACCATGTCAGCACTGCTGTTACCTCGATTTTATTCACTTAAAAAACATGCACTACACGATGAAATACTCTCACTTAGGATCTCCAGCATGCTTCTAGTATTTCTTTGGTTACCTTTGATTCTGAGGGGCTTCCCTTGGGCTCCAATGCTAAACCGCCTCTTTCTCACTTCTTTTTGTTTGTTTAAAGATTTATTTATTTATTTATTGGACACACAGACACACACACACACACAGAGAGAGAGAGAGAGAGAGCACAAGCAGAGGGAGGGGGGCAGAGGCAGAGGGAGAAGCAGGATCCCCACTGAGCAAGGAGCCTCATGAGGGACTCGATCCCGGGACCCTGGGATCACGACCTGAGCTCAGGGCAGATGCTTCACCGACTGAGCCACCCAGGCACCCCTCTTCCTCACTTCTTAACATGGCTCAACTCTTTTTTCCCTCCTTTTTTTCTCCTGGTTCCTGCTTGTCCTTCAAGATTCAGTTAGACACCATCTTGCCCTAGAAAACCTTCCAGAAACTTTCTTCTGTAGTGGATGCAGGTGCCTCTCCTCTGTGCGCCCGGACTACCATGTGCACATCGCTGACGTGCCCATCACGGTCATCGGTTTGACCCATCCCACAACTACCCACTACCTGCTATGCCCCGGGCACCCCTCTGGTCGCCGGGTACTCAGTAGTGAGCACAACAGACAAAGGGGAGACTGACAATAACCAGAAACATAATAAATAATAAATTAGATTGCATGACAGAAGGTAACGAGTGTCACAGAAAAAATGTAAAGGTAGAGTAGGACGAAGACTGGCCACGCCGGCGAGGTGGCGAGGGTGAGGGCCTGGGGAGGTGGGCGGGGGGGCTCGGGGAAGGACCAGCAGCAGGCCCGGAGCCCCTGGGGCAGCCGTGTGCCCGGCATCTTCAAGGACAGGAAGACAGCCCCGGGATCGGGGCGGGGTAAGCGAAGGCGCCACTCACCAGAGGCAGGACCGTGCAGGGCTTCTTAGGATTCAGCAGGATTCCTGACGAGTCAGCCTGGAGTCAAGAACAATGCTGACACCACTTGTTTATGGATCTAGTTCCTTCCCAGCCAGTGACTCTTCCAGCGCAAGAGCAGCGGCGTATCTCTGAGTTCCCTGCCCTCCCGTGGGCCTGGGCACACAGTAGGCTACTTAATGCAAATTGTCAGAATTGAATGGCAAGCTACCTAATTAATAGCCAGCTAAAATAAGAAACCGTGAGGACAAAAGCAAAGTTTGCCCTTGGGACTGTCCTGCCTCCCTGGCCGGTGTTCCTTGAGCCCCTCCACCCCCATGATGGCTCTCGATCCCCCTTGGGCAGGTGCCTTGTAGATCATAGATTGCACAGGTCCAACCTTCCTCAAGCTGTGCTTCATGTTCTGAGATTCTCCCTTTCCCCCCTCTTTTTAACCCAAATCCTCTGGGGCCGAGCCAGGAGAGCCTGGAAGTGCTGAGCTTGATCCTTTATGGCTCTCACTGGGGTCCTGCCCCATGCTGAGGACAAGAGGGATGAGGGATAGGAAACCAGGCACCAGGAGCGGGGGTGAGAGCAGGAGGATGCGCAGGAAGCAGAGCAGAGCAAATCTGAACAGACAATCCCAGCAGGACAGGCCGGCGACACATCCCTGTGGATTCAGAATCCACATCACCAGGTTCCTTAAGTTGAGACACACATGTTTTCTGGGCTGGGGAGTAGATTCTCAAAGAGACCAACATATCTTCCCTCACCAAAACCCTCACTCCCTTCATGCTTTTTTCTTCCAGGTCAGAATACCATCTAGTAAACTAGGTCACTCAAAGATGTGAGTTCATTCATTCAACAAATATTTAGGGAGAACTTACCAAGGCAGATATGGTCCCTGATCGTATGGAATCTTCCAATTAGGAAAAATTTGGTAAAGGAGGGAAAGAGCAAAAATTCCCTCTGGTCGCTCCCGTACATCCCCACTGTGCTGGTCATTGTCATAGACCTTCCACCTACAAGTTGAGTTCAATTTTACCTTTGGTCCCTAAATACAGCAATCTTATCTTGAGATCCCGTTTTCCTGACCTTTCAAAAATCAGGCAGATCATAAGGAAGCCACAATTCTAGAGCTTCCTCAAAAGCAGGACAAGAGAAGGTAGGTAGATGGACAGAGTTCACGTTGAGTTGTTTTAAGATGCCTCCTCCCCTGAGGACATGTGATGTTTTCACTGCAACATAACAAGACTTTATTCCAGTCCTGAGTACTTGACTCGTAATAATTGTGCAAAGCATTTTTCAAACATTGCATTTGATTCTCTCAACAACCTCATAAAAATAAGTTATTTCTTAGCCCTCGTTTTATAAATTAAAAAAACTGAGAATTACAGACTTTAACAGGTCAAATACAGGAAGGATGGAGTGGAAATGCATACCCAAATCTATCTCCAAAGCCTGCATTTTCCACCACAATACCCATGTCTGAAAGTTTAAATACTAAGTCATTAAAAAGAAAACTTTCAAAAGAGGAAAAGTAAAGCTCTGTTGAGGGATCAAGAAGAGATGACAATTCCTCTGAAGAAAGTGAAGAGCAAGGTGAGGACAAAGCCCCGTTAAGAATTAAGAATTAAGAATTCTCTTAATGTTTTTAAAGATGAGATAATACAGGAGCTCGAGCTCTCAAGCCACACCAGAATTTATTGCCTAGGAAGATGGATTTTTCGCCTTGCGAATCATCCCAAGAACTGACATCTTATTCAACACAAAATAGGAAACGGATGGAAGACAATGGAGAAGGAGAAAGGGTTCTACAAAATCACTCTGGGGAAGAGTCAGCGCTGATAAGCTGGGGCAGGAGGCGGGGAAGAAGGGATAACTGTGCCTTCAGAGAGTCCCCAGGGGTCATCTCATTCAAACGACCCATCATAAGGGACAGGAAGGGCCATGGAGACTCGTGGGCTGCTCGCCAAGCCAACACTCGGCTGGAAAGATTCTGCACATCACGCATCAGTCCGGCAACCCTGGTCGCCCAGAGTGCTTCTCTGTACCGCCTTTAGGTTTCAATCTTCAACCTCAGGCTGGCCACTACTCCCCTTGGGATGCCCGGGGCTGAAGAAGATCCGGCAACATGCAATTTTTGATGCCTCTTGGCTCGCATCCGGAAGCCGAGAATCCTGTGAATTAGCTGAGGGGGATCCGAGTGGTCTCACCCAACTTTTGAGTATCTGAGTTGAGAACCGTCCATGGACCAAGACTGTCCTGTTATTGGGTGTCTGTTTTGTTGTCCAAGCCTGTGGTTCTTCTGCTTCTGTGTGCTGCGCAGAAGCACTCATTTTGATCCAAACTGTCCTGTGGGGAGAGGCTCATGATCAGTCAAATCCAAGTGGGCCCTCACAGGTTCTTTACACCTTGAGGTGATAAGCAAGTGTTGAGGAATCCGGTAAGAGAGTTTCCACCCCGAGACCTAGTCTAACCAGAAGACTGGATGACTTTAATGAGATTATGGCCAGTCTATTTCAGTGGCCTTCCTTAAATTCAGAGGCGGCTTATATATAGTTTTCCAATGAACATATTTGGGACCTGGATGATAGTTTTTTTTTTTTTTTAAAGACTTTTTACATTTTCCTAGTGACTTGTGGGTGAACGAACTTTCAGAAACTCAATATTCTCCAAAGAGATTTAGAACTTTCGTCTAACTAAGTGATACACCAAGTGTGAACCTTAGTCTAATTGATACACCAAGTGTGAACCTTAGTGTAACTAAGTGATACACCAAGTGTGAACCTTGGTTTAAGTGATATACCAAGTGTGAACCTTAGTCTAACTAAGTGATACACCAAGTGTGAAGCCACCTCACGGCTGCTTTAACGGCTTTCTCTGAGCAATGGGTACAGTGGGAGCAGCTCTGCCTTACAGATCTGGTTCTGGGGTTTCACATCAAATGCTTTACTTAGGAAATGTAACCTGCTAAATGAATTCAAATAGACCCAGATAAGGATCGGCACGTTTGAAAGCTGTCTGCAACCTGAACAATGAATGAGTCACAGCAGAGCACTGAATCATAAGCGAAAAGTCGAGGTCTGCAGATCTAACCTTCTTCTAACTCCTAATTAACGTTCTGGACAAGGAAGGAAACAGCCTATTAACAAAATCCAATTAGGACATCTAATTGAGAGGGGCTGCCAGTACCTGGCAGGGGGAAAGATTGGCTGTCTGAATAGCATATTATCAGGTAATGTTGAACTTTTAAAAACATAAGCTAATGCATGTGGGAGATGTTAAGTTCACGCACCTAATTAGAGTGTGGAACTTGAACTCTTGAAATGTGCAAATTAAAATCTGAAACTATGGCAGACAGAGAGACATGTGAGGTTAAGCTTGTCCCATCCTCTACCCTGGTCCCAGCCCTTGTCCTTCAGGCCTGGATGGAAGTCGCTGGCTTCTGAGCTGCTTCCTTCCATAGATGGAGACACTCAAATCTCTGATCCGGGCTGATGGGAAACATGCTTGGGCTCCATCTCAAGAGCTCTTCCCTCCTGTGCTGGTGACCTCAGCCAGCCTCACGACTTGAAATACCAGCTAATGGTGATGACCCTCAGTCCACAGCTCCGACTCAGACCACTTTGCTGAACCTCTTAAGTGAACCAAGTAGCCCATTTTCTGATGGATAGAAGCATGATTTACCACATTGGTGTTCAGTTCTTCCTCAAGCCAATTTTGAGCAAAGGGCATTTTCCCCTTTGAGTAATTTGCACAGCAATGGAGATGGGCCCACATTTTTCGAGATGAGTTACTACTTGCTTAAAGCTCAAGATCATCTAGCTCTCTATTAAAATAGAACCTTTTATAATGATGGTGTCACGGGAAATAACTCATGGCTCAGTCTCCAGCAAAATGCGTTGCTCTCGGGTTTTTACTGGATATAGAATTTATGTTTAAGGGGCGTGATTGGATGTGTGATATTATCCGAGTGTATAAATATATAACCTGTGTTTTAATAGATTCTGTAATATACATTTTTGATGCTAAAGTTTTAGGGAAATGGACTTTCAAATTCATTCCAAATATTAAAAAGAAACTGGATTTAGGGAGTGAGGCAGGATGGACAGATATGTTTTTTAGTGCAAAGATCTGTTAGACATACTCTCAGATTTTCTCATTCCCTCTTTTCCCCTGTATAGCCTCTTCCTACAAATATGTTTAGAGATACTCTGCTGCACTACAATGTTGTGAAGTCACAAATTCACTCAGTAACGATGACTCAAATATGCCATGAAATGTCTCTCCTCCACCTTGCCTAATCTGGTCTTCCTGATTTTAACTTTGAATCCTATCTTGAATAAAGCCTCGTCTGATCTAATAATTTAAATAGTCTCTTTGGATAATGCTAAATCTTTCCACAAAAGGAGGAGCTTGGCCTCTTTGATTTCTCAGTCATCTTCGCCCAACCCAGAGTCTTCTGCAAAAATGGCGTCAAGGAGGGGCACCTGGGTGGCTCAGTCGGTGAAGCGTCTGCCTTCAGCTCAGGTCATGATCCCAGGGTCCTGGGACTGAGCCCCGAGTAGGGCTCCCTGCTCCGCGGGGAGTCGGCTTCTTCATCTCCCTCTGTCTCTCCACTGCTCCTCCCACCCCTCATGTGCTGTCTCTCTCTCAAATAAATAAATAAAATCTTTAAAAAAAAATGGCATCGAGGAGAGAAAAATGGCTTTGGGCCCTAATGGTGGAGGTGGGAAGCCGATGTCCCTGGGCACAAAGCTCTGACTCCTCTGGTCTCCAGGACGATGCTTCTTGGTCACTCAGTTGCTGCCTTGCTGGTATTCACAGCTAAAGTCTGTGATGAGCTCATAACCCACGCTCTTAGCTCTGGCTAGCCCATTGGGACATATAGGTCAATCCATCACCCATCCTTTACCTCTTGCTGGATGCAGGCCACGAATTCTCTACCACAGCTGTAACAGAGTCCACATGTTCTCACCACACGGCAGACTAGTAAATCAAGAGGCACGATGCTGGGGGAAGGAAAGCAACTTTATTCAGAAAGCCAGCAAACCAAGGAGGTGGCAGATTGTGGTCCCCAAGAGCATCTTTCCTCAGCATGAAATGCGGGCTTCTTTTATTTTAGAAGGAGGTTGGCGTCAAGAGGTGACTGATATCTGTAGATGTTCAGGAGCCCACAGGGGTCCAAGGAAGGTTATGAAAACTTTCTGTCCCTGGTTACTTGGTCTTTGCATACAGGAATCCGGTCATGGTGTCCCTGTAAATCTTAGCGTTGTGATTTCTGTACGTACTTCCTTCTCTCCTTGGGTGAAGTGGCTTTCAGGGAAAGAGTGGATTTTGCACATCTCAGCTGTAGCAAGCCTACGTGCAGGGCTCCATGGAGGTCTGTCAGCCATACGTCGAAGCAGCAAGGGAAACAGAGGCAACATGGAGTCAGACATGCTAAGTGTCTCCCTATGACACATCCTCTTTCCAGCCTGAGGCTCCGGGGTCCACTCCCGCCCTCAGTTCCAGCATCGCCTCATCCCATCACAGCCAGCCCCATGGCAAGTCCACTGGTTCTCAACCCAGCATCCAAATTCCTGGGTGCTCAGAGTGTCTCGGGGAGGCTGAACCACAGCAACTCCTTCCTCATTAGTGCCTCCTCCCTCTAGAACCCCTTTCCAGCAGAGTTAGGTCACACACCTGTCCACTGGACACCCCTGTCTCTGCCTGTCTCCCTCTTCCTTCTTACAATCCTCGAGGCCTAGAGAGGCAGGCTTTCCCCCTCTATCCCGTTCTCCTCAACGCCTTCAGCCTTCAGTGGAAAAGTGGTGTTTCTCCTGTGCTCGGCAGGGAGTACCCTGTGACATGACGTAGCCTCAGGCGGTTTAGACAACCGTGGAGTCGGAATGGCAAAATGGCAAAGTGCTTTGGTAACTTTCAAAGTGAACTCCTGTTACAAGTACTTCTTACAGTCCTGTCCCCTTCTGCATTCCAGATGAAGATCTTTGACAAAAATAAGGATGGCCGTTTGGATCTTAATGACTTGGCAAGGTGAGTAGCCTGAGAATGGTGTCACAGACTCAGACATACCGTCGTGGGGGTTCCACGACGCACACACTTCCCTTTGAAAGGCAGAGGTCAAGGCTTGCCTGAAGAAGAGGCTCATCTGGCCAAATAAACAGCGGTTGTTTAGAATCTTCTGGGGGTGACAGATGCCTTTGTAAAGATAATAAAAACTGCCCCCCAAATGCACAATACACAAAGTTTTCATAAAATTTTATAGGTGGGTCGTGGGCCAGCCCTGCCTTCAAAGGCCAGACGTTCCTGGTCTCACATAAGGACCCCATGAAAATATAAGTCTGGAATCTCCTTCACTGGCTCTGGGAAAGCTGAGCAGTTAGTTCAGGACAGGGGACGACTGTGCTGTCTGCTTTTTCGGTGTTGAAGTAAACTCCATGGGCACCCAGCACCCGAGGGCCAGAGTGGGGAAGGGGAGGGGTGACAGCAGAAGTGGCCCAGTGCCTGGAAAAGTGCTGTAAGGCCGGTGTTGTGACATGATGGTCATGTCAGCACATCGTCTCAGGACTGGCTGACCCCAAGATGACCTGTGATTGTCACAGAAAGGAAAAAAAAAATCAGCGGATCCAGAATACATGGGTATAGCCCAGAAGGGGGAGCAGTGACGATCTCAGGGGCCTGCGGATGGGGTGGATGGAGTGGTAGTGTGGACAGGGACGGGGGTGGCAGTTACAGGCTGCAGGGCACAAGCAGGTGTGGCTGGAAGACAGGGAGTCCACGGACTGAGGGTGATTTTCAGTGACAGAGAGTTAACTGGGCAATGTCATAAGCAGATGTGAACTTGAGTTCAGAATCACAAAGCCCTGTACCAGCTACCTCCTCTCTTGGCAGCATCTCCGAATGGGGACACACCAAGAAGAACCTCTCCTTAGTGATTGCCAGGACATCGTCCCCAACACTCCGTAGGGTCTTCTATTCTGAGCCTCATCCTCCTTGGTTACTTTCCCCAGGACCTTTGTCCAAAATTTGGCCACTTTGTTGGAGAAAAGGCACGGAGAGACCAGCCAGACCAGAGGGGGACGAGAGTGTTTCTCCTAAAGGTTGAGGACTGAGGGGTCTCCGCCCTGTGGCCCTTGTAGATTTGTCCCCTGGGTCCCACTCACTTCTCACAGTTCTTTTGGCCAACTGAGGCAAGCGTTCCTCTCAAGCAGAGGTCAGTCTAGCTACTCTGAGAGCTGTGTGAGAGCCAGTCCTAACGGGATTACCCAAACACCTAAAAGATTCACTCAAAACATGGCATCTGGATGAAAACAAGAGCATTTAACTTCATTGCTCCCCTCGCCAAAAACACCCACCCACCTGACTCAAGGCACTTCTCAGAGGCAGCGAGTCCAGCAGCCCCGAGCGCCTCCTGGAGGCTGGAGTGTGCCACTGCCGTAAACTGCTCTCTACCCAATCGTCAATGACACTTTTACTCCTCAAATAAAATCCACAGATAATATAATCTACCTGCGAGCATAATGCTAAAGCAGTTAGTATAATGCACAAACTATAACACATAAAGGGGAAATAAAGGAGAACAGGTAATAATAAAATAAGGTGTATTTCAGTGCATAGGTGGGTAGATGGAACCACAGGGAAGACATAAGGGAGGGGTTGTTGCTTACATCGTGGTGTGGAATTACTGTGAATATGTCAGTTCAGATGTTGACTGATACAAATGTGGCCTTTTGGCAACTCATGTGTCAGGAACTCAGTTGCTGTTGATACAATTTTATAAACAACAAATAAGTCTTGATCGCATTCCAAAGGAAACAAAGTGCAGTCATCCCTCAATTTACATGACTCACTATACTATATGGATAATCGACACAATTAGCAAATTATGTACACCTTGAGAAAAATGCCCTGGATTTTTATGTAAATAGGAATTCAGTTCTCGGTTCAAATATAATTATAAGCAGGATTTTTGCACACATGAGTGGTCCCCTGGACATTCCACAGGATGATTCCCCATTCTGTGGAACTTTCCATGCAATGCAGGACATCTAGCACCCCCAGTCCCCATCTACGGAGGTCATGTCCCCTCTGTCACTGTGATTACCAAAAGGCCTCCCTGCAAGCTAGCCAAACGTCCCCCACTGGGGGCCTACCCAGAAGGTAGGAAGTATGCCTTAGTCTCTTCAATAGCTTCTCTCCTAGTGGAGTGTTATGTATAGAGGAGAATTCAATCAGTAGTTGCGGACTGAAGGAAGAATTGACTTCTTACTGAACAGAGATGCAAAGTGACAAAACAGTTACTATCTTCTTTCAAAACCAATTTGATACGGAATTTGACAGTGACAACGAGGGTAGGTGGATTAAAGATGTCCATGTCTGAATTCCCAGAACCACTGAACATTTTATGTTATGTGGCAAGATGCATGAAGGCTGCAGAGAGCATTGTAAGTTGCTCACTGACAGACCTTACAGAAATTAGTCTGGATTGTCCAGGTCGGCCCAAGGACAAGGGTCCTTTAAATGTGGAAGAAGGAAGCAGAGGGTCGGGCTTTGAAGGCTTTGAGGTGGAGAAACGGGCCGTGAGCCAAAGGATGCAGGCAGCTTCTAGAAGCTGGAAAAGGCAAGGAAACTGATTCTCCCCTGGAGCCTCCAGAAAGAAACAGCCCCATGGACACCTCAGTTTTAGCCTGGTGAAATCTGCTTCAGACTCTGATTTCCAGTGTTGTAAGATACTCATTTGTGCTTTGAAGCCACCACATCTGAGCTCATTCGTCACAGCAGCAATAGGGAAATAACTGAATGACTTAAAGGTCTTAAAACATTTATACACGGGACTCCTCTCTCTATTCCCAGCTCTAGAATGCAGCTGTCTTGCTCCACATACAAGCGCCTCTCAAGTACATGTCCTCTCGCTGGTAATATGATTTAGGCTGCTTGGTGCCAACCAAGAGATAGGACAGATTCCTCGTGGAGTTCCAGGGTATTCTACCCTTTACTTGGCTCAGATTAATTCTTTACCCTGGGCATCCAGAAGAGCAGAATTTTCCAAATTGCTATGTGATACTTTTTCTGCCTTTCTCTATGTTGTGAATGCGTGATTATGAGTGCAACATAAATCCAATGCTTTAGTCTTTTGAAACAGACTGTATTCTATTAAATGCAATTGTAATTAAGCAGGAAGTATGAAAATACATTTGTTTTCCAAAAAATAAACCTGTATTTTTTTTATTGCTTATCATTTATGTATTATAACATTTACTCTTATAAAGGGTACAATTCGGTATACTTTAGTCTATTCATAAGGCTGTTCAACCATCACCACTGCCCAATTCTAGAACATTTTTATTGTGCCAGAAAAACGCCCCATACCCATCAGGAATCACTCTCTCCTTCCCTTACCTACCAACCCCTGATAACCACTAATCTACTTTCTGTTTCTATGGATCTGCTTATTCTGGGTATTTCATATAAATGGCATCATACAATACGTGGCCTTTCATGTCTGGCTGAGGTTCTTTATTTCTTCATGTGGACTGAAGCAACTGTCTCATGTTCTTTTCATTTCAGCTCGAAGAATCCCTTTAGTATTTCTTATGGGTCACATTTATTGTTGATAGTTGTTATCTTTTTGCTTAATGACTTTTTCTAACTAATCCTGTAAAATCTTTATCTTTGTCATATGTGGACACTGAAGTCCCTGCTTGGTTGCTGAATGGTTAGTTAATGATTGGGCAGAGACTCCTTGTATGTCTCCCAATGTTTGTTGAGGGGCCCTGTGTACGGGTTGGGGCACATCTTCTACATGCAACCAGGAAGTTTACAATTCTGCTTAGGCTTAACTTTTATTTATTTATGAGAGCGAGAGACGGAGCATGAGCAGGGGTGAGGGGCAGAGGGGGAGGGAGAGGGAGAAGCAGACTGCCTGCAGACTCCCCGCTGGGCACGGAGCCTGGCTCCATGCAAGACTCCATCCCAAGACCTTGAGATCATGACCTGAGCCAAGGTCAGACACTTAACTGACAGAGCCACCCAGGCGCCCCTGTTTAACCAAACTCTTACCCACCACTGCGGTAGGCTGTTATCTTAAGTGATTGCTTTTCATTGTTTTTGACAAGTGCTCCCAGATAAAAGCCTTTTCCACTAGGTGAGTTCAAAATCAGGTCAAATAAGTGCATCTTGCAAGTGGGGTCATTCAGAGAACATCAGAGAAGTCAAATAACGGCAATTCTTTGGGAGTTAGGTTTTGAAAGGGCTCCAGCTCTGTTCTGCTCACTACAGCAGCTGTTAGAACGTTCATTTTCCCTGGGACTATGGGCTCTTCATTTTCAAAGATACCATGTTGCTGAGGGGGTTGGAGGGATGAAGCAAGTTAAAAAGCCACAAAATCCACTGTTCTTACCCAGATTTAGTCATTTTTCCAAAATAAACACTCCCCAGATTTCTGTAAGACTTGAATTTCTAGAATTCTGAAAAAGTTATTTTGACTTTTTTTTTTTTTTTTTTTGCCAGTCTTCTCATTGCTGTTATGGAGGAGAGAGTTTTCATAAGCCCTTCCTTTGCCATTTTCCACCAAGACGACTTTTTAAAAGTCCCTCTATGGTGACTACTAATCCCTATGAAAGTCTTTCCCAATTAATTTTTTAATTTGTTCTTACAGTATAGAAATTCCCATTTTTCAAGCACTCACCCTCTTCTGCAGAATGATCTGGAAATTGCCTGCCCTTTCCTCATGCCAGAGTTATGGATCTGCTTGCCTTTGAGAGCTGACAGATCATAACGTAAATTACTTTCTTTTCTTCTTTTCCATTTAGGATTTTGGCTCTTCAGGAAAACTTCCTTCTCCAATTTAAAATGGATGTAAGTAGTGACATTTCTCTAGGTGGGCTTGTGTCATTCATGTCTCTCCATAAATTCGAGAGGCAGGGAAGAAAGGAAGGCATCTGTTCGTCTCACTGTGATTTATCCAGAGACCAGCAAGGTTCACTGCTGGAATCAAGGGATTAAGGGTCATTGACTTAAAAAAAAAATCATAAAAGTTTATAAAAGTTGTCTATGACCCTGGAAGAATTGTACATCGGAAGCGTCCCAATGCTGGAGTGACATACTGTTTTCTCCACACACAGGCTTGTTCCACTGAAGAAAGAAAGAGGGACTTTGAGAAAATCTTCGCCCACTATGATGTTGTAAGTGTGTCTCTTTGGGTTGTGCTGGCTACTTTTAGGGAGCAAGCTTGTTTAGCCCCTATGTGGGGTCATTCTACCCACAGACCCTGAACTGATAACGATGAATAGCAATCCCACATGTATGCTGCTATTGTCATACCCTCAGCTTCTCCATGTGAACTTCTGAAAACTACATTAAAATGGACAAAGGAGAATTTATGGTTGAGAAGGGAATAAAATCATGTTTCTTTTCCCTCTGGCTCTAAACTGGGAGAAAGTTTCTCTTTCTTGATCTCCGTCTAGAAAAGTATGCTTGAAAACAAAAGCAGACAATCAGGTTAAAAACCACATCCAACCCAAAGAAATAGAGGCAAAACGAGCCCTGGTCGACATAAAAACTACTTTTCTTGTAGGATTGATTGATTATATGGTCCTGCTTCAGAGAGGAGAAAATAATAATTCTAAAGCACAAAGTATGGTAAGGAGATTGCATTTCTTGAAGACGAGGTACGGTAATGCAAGAAGGAAGAATAATGAGGAAGTTAGGAAAAGTCAAAAGAGATGCTGTCCTGAAACTCACCAGACTGGGCATTTGAGTGTGTCACATTCTGAGCAGAAAGGAGCATCACCTGGGAGAGGCAGCTCAGCAAAGGGTTGCTGTGTGACCCATCGCCTGTGTTTGAATCATGCCTCGTTAGCCACGTGACCTTGGGCAGATTCCTTAACTTCCCTGAGCCTCGTTTCCCTTACCTGTAAAGTTAGGGTAAGTAGCCGAGGATAATAATAATAATACCTACCCCATGGAATTGGTGTGAGAATTCAGTGATTTCATGTGTGTAAAGCTCTTAGAAGGGTGCCTGGCAGGTAGTGTTCAGTAAATACACTAATTTTTTTTAAAAAATAGACTTTTTAAAATGATACGTTAAAGGTTCAGGGTGAAGAAAACTTGAAAAGATGGATGGATGAGTTGTCATGACTGACACTTTAGAGAAGAAACTGAAATATTTTAATATGTATCGCATTTTATAGACATTCTTATAGAATGAGTAGGAAAAAAATAAGGGTTTGTGTACAGACCAAATAATAATTCTAACATACTCACTCAATCTAGTCACTCCTGACCTAAAACTTTAATAATCATCAAGTCCTTGCTAAATCATAAAGCACAATAAAAAAAATGTCAGCCTATATCCTTCCAAGGACCAATACGATGTGCAAATAACGCTTGTCTGTACTGAAGTTCGGTATTTGGGAAGCAAACGAGGTCGGTATATATCATGTTAATGAGATTCGCAAGAGCCAAGGAACTCCCATTTGTTTATGTGGGGGTCATTACGTACAATTAATTATTGTCATGTCTGTGGAACATTCACTTTCTGCACAGAGAACCTCACGGCAACGTGCCATTTCCGAACCTCTTTGCAACCACAGAAGAATACTGATTTGCACAATTCGCCTAATTTATTCTTTAGCTTTCTGACTTAAGAAAATGATGTTTGACTGACAGGCTCTTGTCTATTTCAGAGTAGAACGGGAGCTCTGGAAGGCCCGGAAGTGGACGGGTTTGTCAAGGACATGATGGAGCTTGTCCAGGTGATTTCACGGGGCCGTAGAGATTTCGCTCCTCGAGGGTCAGGGATGCCATTGTGACTGATTCCACTGTTTACTTCTGAGAATCCGTGGGGCTGATGATTAATGCCAGAGACTAAATCTAGGGACACAGTCGACTGAACAATTACTGAGCCTCTGGGAGAACTGACACGTCTCCCTTTCTCTCTTCAGATCATTTTGAGCTTTAATTAAGTGACCCCATAGCAGCTTCTTGTTTCCATCCTATAAAACCCTCTCTTTTAACAGAAGAGCACAGTTCTGCTTATTTTTTGGTTACAGAAAGGCCTTTCTACCCCTGGAGTTGGTTATTAGAAAACCCAAAACTTTTAATTTAAATTTCATGAAATAAATCCCATATTTGAGATTCTTTTTTCCCCCCCTGAGGGGCTGCTTTAACACCTGACCTAAAATCCTGGTTACTTATCTATCAAGACATTGCTGCGATTCGAAGCAATAGGATTTTGATTATAATCTAGATCACAGAGAGGTTTTAGGTCGTGTACACGGTTTAAAACAAGCGATCTCCTTTGAGATCCTGGTGCACTGTAGTAACTGGCTGCCTGATCTGGTTAAGCAGACACTTGGCAACTCTTCCTTTTCTCTGGAACTGTCTAGCCACCGAATTTAGCGCATTCATATCCTTAGAGATTTTTTGAGGTGTATACAGGACACGATGACTCCGTCCCGATTGGCCCAAATGGCAACAAATTAGAGTAGCAATTGTTAACTGGTTTTAGAATCCCAGACCTGCTTGAAAACCTGATTAAAACTCTGGAGTTTGGGGGGCACGTGGGGGGGTTCGGTCGGTTAAGTGTCTACTCCTGATTTCAGCTCAGGTCATGATCCTGGGGTCATGAGATCGAGCCCCGTGTCAGGCTCTGCACTAAGCATGGAGCCTGCTTGGGATTCTCTCTCTCCCTCTGCCTCTGCCCCTTCTCTCCCGTCCCTGCTGGAGCACTCTCTCTCCCTCTCTTTCTCTAACAACAACAACAACAACAAAACTATGGAGTTTTGCAGCAGAAAACGTCCCCCCAATTTACCAGTTTTTGCACAAATCTCCAGGAAGTTCACATTCTGTGACTGAGCAGGCATGGACGAGATTTTTTTCCTGACCGCGGGTCAGGATGACTTTGGTGTGGTCTTTGCCTCCTCACTTGTGTTGTTCCCATCCCAACTGGTCCCCTGCCTCTTCTTTGGTTCCTTCACGGGTGCCCCTGTTGGAGACTCCACCAGCATCTGTGCAGCGGATGGGTCCAGGTGTGGTAGTGCCTTCCGCATTGATTGCTAAAGGAAAGTCCCACTGTATTTACTATCTATTTCATGCCAGAATGATTTCTGTAATAGAAACTGAGCAATTATCTAGGGGATATTAAAATCACATGGCGGTAGGCTTGGCCAAACTGCAGTTTTAGTTTGCCTTTGATAGAAAGCATGGGATGGGGGGCGCTGCTTCTCAGAGCAGCGTGTGGCCTCCTCCGAGCCATGGAGCTCGGGCCGACGACTGCCCAAGTCCACAGCCCAGGGTGCTGCGCATACCTCCAGACCCTTTCAGTTGTCACTGAGCTTAGCAATGGCTTCCACAAGTTACTGGGAGATAGGGAAGGAAAACCTAAACCAGCCACAGAATAGAGAAAACATTTTCCCAGAGGAAATTAAAGAGAAGGGGAAAATTCTAGGCCATCCAAAAACATGCGTTTGCCTCACTCTTTGATAGATTTGTATCACCTCCATGGGAAACCAGAGGACCCCCCCCCATCACTCTCGTCCTTGCCCCTCTATTTCGGTGGGGCTTCTGGCCCAACAAAAAGGTACTTCTCAATATAAGTACCAGCCAAGTGAAGTGAGCCGGTTTCCAAGGACTGAGTGAGGCCGGGCTCAGTAGTAGAAAAGCAGTTGACCAGGGCTGGTTTATTGAGCTAAAAAGTATTACAAAGTAGTTAATTATTTTTTTTTAAAGATTTTATTTATTTATTTGAGAGAGAGAATGAGATAGAGAGAGAGAGCATGAGATGGGGGAGGGTCCAAGGGAGAAGCAGACACCCTGCTGAGCAGGGAGCCCGATGCGGGACTCGATCCCGGGACTCCAGGATCATGACCTGAGCCGAAGGCAGTCGCTTAACCAACTGAGCCACCCAGGCGCCCACAAAGTAGTTAATTATTAACATTCTCCTCTGAAGCCAGATCACTGAGGTGCAAACCTGTATTGGATCTTTCCCAGTCTTCGGGATTGCTTAAAAAACGATTCACCATATAATTTGAAGGATGTTGTCAAGGGAAAATCTTTGAGTAAATTCTGATATTCCTCAGGTTCATAAACTACAGTCCTCTCCTGTGACTTTTTCATTTTCATTTCATTAGAAAGGACGATGGGACAAGTCAACAAACCAATATCTGGAATTATTTTTTAAGATTTTATTTATTTATGTGAGAGAGAGGGAGAAAGCACAAGCGGTGGTGGGGGGAGGGGGAGAGGGAGAAGCCTGACACAGGGCTGGATCCCAGGACCCTGACTTCATGACCTGAGGCAAAGGCAGACCCTTAACTGACTGAGCCACCCAGGTGCCCCTGGAATTTATTTTAAAAGCAATTATCAGAGCATGTCATGAGGTCAGCAGGGAGCTGGCTCAGTTTCTCAGTGGAGAGTCCTGGTCAGGATCCCTGATGTTTGCAATAATGACCCTGAAATAAACTTACTTTATAGCCTTTCATTCCTGTACAACTATGGATGATACATATGTTGAATCTGTATTAATAAGATTATCTGGTTACCAGAACATCCCTTTCCCTGATCTCTGGAAAATGGCATCCAAGGCTGTCCTCTGTCAGTATGTTGAGATCAGACAAAATAATTTCTGCACAATTTTTATAATTTCTGCACAAAGAGTCTGTAGGCCCCTTGGCACAGCATGAAAATCAACATGAGAATCTACGGCTTAAAGTAGAAAGTAGTAAGGCAAGACATTTAAGATGCCCAGCACCCCACACCAAGGAGTAGAACTGTGGATGGTAATGTGGGAAGCCAAACAGATGGGGTATCAGCGATGCCCAGGACGTCTGCCTGGAAGCGAAGAGAGTTCCTGCTCCCAGGCTCCCCAAAATTCATTCTTTTTCCTGCTAGACACCGCTTCTGCTTTCCTCTGTTGTTGACAAGGAGATGATTAGCAAGAGGGGACGATACTTAACCTAAAGGATCGGATCTAATATGTGATCCTCCAAGGAGCTGCTAGCCCTTAGCATGCATGTTACTGTTTCTTTTCATTTTTTAAATTATAAAAATGATGCATACATCATAGAGAAATTTGAAAGTAGAGGAAAGAAAAGACAGAAGAGTACTCTCTAACCTCGAGTAGACCTGCTATTAGCGGACTTTGTTTCTGGGTATATTCTGCATAGGTGAACTCCACTGATAAACATTTCCCGGGTACGGTCATTGTGTTAGTGCCCGTATAAGATTTTACCTGTGGTTAGATATCCCTTACCTACACATTCCTCTTTTGCTAGTAATTTATTTATTTTTTAAATTTTATTTATTTATTTATTTTTAAGTAATCTCTACACCCAATGTGGGGCTCCTCTCTTGCTGGTAATTTAGACTGTTTACCAGGTTTGTGACTCCAAGTAAAGGCAGGGCCTTGGGGTCTTGTCGCTGACTCTAGCATGGAGACTTGGGGAATGCTGGTAATGACTTATCTGGGGAGAAGCTTTGGATATTTGCTTTCGCTGTTTTAGGAGAGGTGGAACGTACAGAAAAGGAAGGGCACATGACGAAAACATGAACACTGCGTTTGGAGACTCCATGGATGTAATTGAGCACTTAGCACGGGCAAGCACAAGGAGACATATCCAGCCCCAAAGGTTCCCCTAGTTCCAGAATTCAAGTGGGGGTAGATAAGCATTTTTCAGCCAGCTACCCCAGATCCACTCTCACACTTTCCCATGAGATGGATAAGAAATAAGAAATGCATTTTTGCACGGGCGGCTATGATATAGTGTACTGTTAAAGAGATGTGCTTTGGGGCCTGCCTGCCCGAGTTTATATCTGGTTCTGACGTGTACCAGCTGTGCGACAGTGGGAAGGTTAATTAACCTCTCTGTGCTTTAGTTTTCTCATCTGTCAATTAAAAGTTGATAGTAGATACAACCTCATCAGGTTGTTCTGAAGATTAGAATTAATTTGTGTAAAACCCTTAGATCTGGGACCTGTGTGCACATATAGTGGTGACTTGTTATTAAAACTGAGGCCCCCAGTGATCTCAGGTGATTGGTCTTCCATGATCCAAACATCATTGAACAGTGGCATTTAGGTCTCCTGACTCCCAGTGAGTTGTCAAACATTAAAAGCATAACTCTGAAGGTCCAAAGAAACTTCCCTTACATACACTCACACTCATACCCTCCTTCCAACACACACTCACACACCCACAAAATAAGGAAATAATTCCTTTTGCAGGAAACAAATTAAAAAAAAAAAAAAGAAAAGCTTAAACTAGCTTAAATGAGGTAAATTCACTGGCAAGTTAATTCATGCTAATGTGTAAATGACTACCACCTGAGTCTTTTCTCAGCATGGGAATTTGCTAAGAGGATCCTGAGGCAGAATGCCACTAACTGGACAAAGGATGCGGCAGGAGTGGTTGAGGATGCTGATAACCCAAGTTTCCCACTTTGCAATTGTACAAGAAATGGACTCCCGATATGGAGCCATGGAGCGTAGCTTGCTGTTGTCAGGACTTCTAAGCCATTTCCTGGACCACACCTATACCTGCCCGTCGGACACCCAAGGAAGTATCCTGGGTAAGCCCCGACAAGGAAGACGGACTGACGGTGTGTTGCACTTCAGCCTCTTAGTCTAATCACTGACGGACCCTCCATCAGAGAGTGCCGTTGGCCGCAGATTCATGTCCCCTGCAATCTTGGCCCACGTTGGAGGTTACTGTTGCTGTGCTGTCTAGCTCCCAGGTCCTGTTGCTCTCTGCCCTCCATCCTTCCCTCCGTGAAAACCTGGGATCACAGATAGACTTGGTGTCACTCATCTATCCTGTGGGACAGTGCAGATTAGCTCGTCTTAATTCAGCTGTCTAGTTGAAGAATGAAAGGTTTTGTTTCCTACTCAAGGTTTTTGGAGATTTCTTCGGCAGCAAGGTAGCCCCGGGTTGGGCTGGGTGACGGGGAGAGCTTCCCTGGCTCCTAAAGCCAAACCCTGCACACAGCTTCCTCCTCTGCTCGCTGGTGAGACTAGCCCAGTAATCAAGGGGTTTGGAATCTGATGAGCTGGGTTTTCTCTCTCTGTGGACATGGGCTTTTTCATCTAGACCCCGAGCCTTCACACTGCCGGTCAGACCACCGCCGCTCCAGCACAACGGTGTGAACTGAGGGGATGAGAGCACTTACTTCATTGGAGGCAGAAGACTCAGGATCAGAAATGCTGTTGAAATTCCCTAGCTTGGTAGGACGGTTCAGCTCTGAGCGACCGTGTCCTAATCTGTGAGCCTGGGTTACCCCAAGGTTATCGTGAGCATTAAATGAAGCAGCCCGTGGAGAATCACTCAGTTCATGCAATTGCTCACTTCTGCAGGCCTTTTGAGTTTGATATTCTTTTCCCAACTGGTGCATATCACGGTTCCTTCTTAGCCCCTAAAATATCCCTTGGAATAAATCCAACATCTGCAGCTCAGGGACATACTGTTCTAGTTCGATTTTCATTCATTATAACCCTTTTTAAAATTAGAGGCACGTGGGGCGCCTGGGTGGCTTAGTCGGTTAAGCGTCTGCCTTTGGCTCAGGTCATGATCCCAGGGTCCTGGGATCGAGCCCTGCATCGGGCTCCCTGCTTGGTGGGGAGTCTGCTTCTCCCTCTCCCTCTGCTCGGACTCTCTCTCAAATAAATTAATAAAATATTAAAATAAAATAAAATTAGAGGCACAAAAACCTCCCACAGGGAGAGAGTAAAATGGGTCGTCTCTGTGGGTCTGTGTGGCAAGGCAGGATCTGTAGCGACAATCCCCTGCTCCGAGGCAAAATATCTTTATCACGACGAGGAGCTGGAATCACGGGGCACGGCCTGTTCCCACGGAGCCCCCCCCTCAGCAGGCAGGGGGTCCCTGCATGTAGTGAGCATGGGGCGGGGCGGGGCGGGGCTGGCACAAAAGGCTGGGGCCACCACTGGCTGACCCACTGACGTGTGATCTTCGCTGTCCTCAGCCCAGCATCAGCGGATTGGAACTTGATAAGTTCCGGGAGATTCTTTTGCGCCACTGCGATGTGAACAAGGATGGAAAAATTCAGAAGTCCGAGCTGGCTTTGTGTCTTGGGCTGAAAATCAATCCCTAATCCCCAGAACGCTTTGCCTTTTGCTCTTTGGATGTTTCTGTGCTCCGGCTGCTTAAGCTATCTGTGCTTTGCTGTTGGGACACGTGGGCAGACTTCCTAACAACCCCGGGCGGTATCCTTGGGCTGGGGGCAGGGGTAGGGGGCGAGGGCCTTCTTGCTAAGGGCATGGTGTTCTCCCGCCTCGCTGAAAGCACCCCCCCCATGCAGTACCCGTGTTATCCATCCTCCCCCCACCCTGGGCTTTCCCGTCCCCCCCACAGAATCAGCGAGCCCCCTGGATCTGCTCTGCTTGCCCTCCCTCAGTCACCAGGGCGGCGGGGAGCAGAGTCCATCTGTCTGTGCTCCCTTGTAGGCGAGTCTGGCGTCTGTGGCAATCCTGTGACCTCTACAAATCGATTTTGTCATGGAAATAAACCTGTAGCTGGAAACTAAGACACGCTGGTCCTTGTTTTTGTGTTGTGATCTTTGCATGTTCTGCCGGGTGGTTCTCTGACTTGGGGTGGGTGTGATGAGGACGGAGACAGGCAAGATCCGAATGGATTTCACACCTGCTTTCTTCCAGAGTTCGCAGAAGCCCTGGTCGGTGACTTTGCCAATAATCCCTTTGTATTCATTGCATGGAGACCAGAACACTCAGTGTGGGCTGGGTTTTACTCTTAAGTGCTCTGTAATCTCACATGGTCAGGAAGGTAGGAATACAGGAGAAAATTCGGAGAAAATGCTTCCCAGGTTAGCCATGTGTCTGTTCCCCACTCTGTTCCTTCCCTGTCCACCAGTGTCCTCTAGCGAATCTTTGACCTCCAAGTCTCCCTGGATGCCCCCGAGTGTCTGGGCCCCTCTGCAGGTTGCAGGCTCCCCCTCAGACCCCTCCTTCCTTCACTCCTGGGCTCTGGCACAGTCCCCATGCGGTGGGGGCTGCTTCTCCTGGGGCAGGTCTCACTCTCTCTTAACCATCCGGACACTTTGTTTCCTAAAACTGTGCAGGAATTTCAGGTTTGATATGATGCTTTAGGTAATTCAGAAAAATTGTAGTATAGAATGGTATATTCAGAGCCATTCACAGCCCAAGAAATTCCATCGTTCACAGGGTTCCCCTCAATGGCAAGACCCTGGCCCTAACCGGGTTCCCATCCCCTCAGGTGTCCCTTATGTCAAATATACAGATAATTAATATCAATAACTACCATCAAGTGCTTTCTATGTGCTAAGTACTTCTAGGTGCTTCCCACACTTCAAACCATGTAATCCTCACTGAAACCCCGTGAGGTAGGTACTCTCATGACCCATCTTAGAGATGAAGACACTGAGACAGATGGTAAGCTGTCTGGGCTTGGACATCTCAGAAGTGGGGAGTTGTGGACTTCATTATGGCCCATTTCATGCACCTTTCAGGAGAACGTGGCCCCTCCCTACAGGTTGGGTCTCACTGTGGGATCCACTGCCTTCCCCAGCAGGACATTTCTCCAAGTCTGGGTCACTCAGTCTGGGGCAATGCTTGATGGGAGCCCGAAGAGAACCCAGGGGGCAGCATGGGGCCAGACAAGCATGCGAACCGCTCCTCACCATGCAGATGTTGAGGGAACCACATACATGCGCACCCTTCAAAGAACAAACTTTGGTTTTCAGAGTTGAGACAGTCCAAACCCACAGGAAGGGTGGAAGAATATGTATCTCCAGAATTTCACATTATTCTGCAGAGTCTCGGCTCCTCCTCTAAATCCCCTGAGTTTTTAAATTTTAACCATAACAGAAGTCTTTTATTTTAATGCAGTTGGACCTACTTTACATTTACTTATTGCAATGCAGCTTCTGTTTGGTTTGAAACATCCAGCTTTTAGGGTCAAAAATGCATTCTCTTCTGCTACCATTTTTTTTAAAGGCTCTTTAAAAAATTTTACATATATATTTTTTGGTTATGTGTAGATATAAAATATACATATAAATTTTGGTTTTACATATGTATATAAAATATGTATCTATCTCATATATATATATGAGAAAAAATTTGCCATTTTAACCGTTTTAAGTGTGTCATTCCATGGTATTAATTACATCCACAATCTTATGCAACCATTAACACTATCTATGTACAAAACCTACTCACTGCTGCAAACAAAACCTCTGAACCCATTAAGAACACAACTCTCCATTCCCTCTATCCCTAGCCTCTGGTAACCTTTCATCTACTTTCTGTCTCTATGAATTTGCCTCTTCTAGATATTTCACAAAACTTGAATCATAAAATGTTTGTCCCTCTGTGTGTGGTTTATTTCACCCAGCATGTTTTCAAGATTCGTCTGTGTCGTAGCAGGTATTAGGACTTGTTCTCTCCTTATGGATGAATAATAGTCCTTCGTATGGATATTCCACATGTAGTTTATCCACTCATCTGTTGATGGATACTTGCTTTGTTTCCACCTTTTGCTCACTGTGAATAATAGTGCAGTAAACACTGCCACGCAAGTATCTCAGTCCCTGTTGTCAATTCTTTTGTGTCTATACCCAGGGTTGGAACTGCTGAGTCTCATGGCAAGTCTATGTTTATCTGTTTGAGGAACTGCCAAACCAGCCTCCACGTGACAGCGCCATTTTACATTCCCACCAGCCATGCATAGGGGTTCCAATTTTAATCTTCTGCTTCTAAATAGAGCCTTTTCTAGAACTGACCAAAATAGAAACTGGATCCAAACTTGTCCTATATCCCCTTAATTCATGATTCCTCTTTTAGCTACATGGAGAAGAAGTTTGAGCTTCGGGCTCCAGCAAGGGCCATACAAATTCTTAGCCAAGGGTCCCTATCCTCCTCGGTGTCTATCTGAATATGACTGAGGTGGTGATGGGTAGGGAAGAGAAGTTTTATTCTTTTAAGAGTAATGTTTTCAGATCCACTGAGGGCAGCTACTTGCCCTGAACACCAAGAAGTTTTAGTTATAAGATATAGCCAAGACTCTGTCAGAATCTCCCAGGCTGGGGCACCTGGGTGGCTCACTTGGTTAGGTATCTGACTCTTCACTGGGCTCAGACCGTGATCTCATGAGTCGTGAGATTGAGCCCCACATCCGGCTCTGTACTCAGCCAGGGGTCTGCTTGAGATTCTCTCTCTCTCTCTTTTTTAAGATTTTATTTATTTATTTGTCAGAGAGAGAGAGAGAGAGGACAAGCAGGGAGAATGGCAGGCAGAAGGAGAAGCAGGCTCCAGATTTGGTGTCTGGTCCACTTCCTGGTCCAAAGATGGCTGTTTTTCACTGTGTCTTCACATGTTGGAAAGGGTGAAGGAGTTCTCTGGGCTCTCTTTCATAAGGGCACTAATCCCATTCATGAGGGCTCTACCCTATGTTTATCTTTTCCCAAAGGCCCTACTTCCAAATACCAACACACTGGGGATTAAGTTTAAACATAGGAATTTTGGAGGAACACAAACATTCAGTCTATAGCAATGGCCAAGAAAGATAAATGGCCTTAGGCCTCTGTTGCAAAACCAAAGAGGAACAGGATGCTGAAGAAGGGACTGCCAAAGGGCAGAAGTCTCTTATCAGAGCCCGTGTTGTATAAGTTTGATGGGTGGGGGAAAGGTATGGGGGGTGGCACCCCTGAGAGTTGTCTCCTTGCCAAAGATGCTTGCTCATTCATTCCAAATTAAAAAGGAAGAAGTAAAATTGTTTCTGCAGATGACCTGCTCTTACAGATAGAAAATCCTAAAGACCCCACTAAAAAACTGTTAGAACTAATAAACAAATTCAGTAAAGTTGCAGGACACAAAATCAATATACAAAAATCAGTTGCATTTTTATACATTAACAATGAAATACCTGAAAAAGAAATAAATAAAACAATCTCATTTACCATAGCATCAAAAACGATTAAATACTTAGGAATAAATTCAACAAGAGGTGAATGATCTATACACTGAAAACCGTAAGTCTGGTAAAAGAAATTGAAAAAGACACAAAGAAATGGAAAAACATCCAGTGTTCATGGATTGGAAGAATTAATATTGTTAAACTGTCTGTACGACCCAAGGTAATGTATAGACTCACTATAGTCCTTGTCAAAATTCCAATGGCATTTTTCAGAGAAATAGCAAAAACAATACTAAAAATCATATGGAACCACAAAAGACCCTGAGTAGCTAAAGCAATTAGTTGAGAAAAAATAAAGCTGGGAGCATCAAACTTTCTGATTTCAGGCTATCTTACAAAGCTATCGTAATCAAAACAGTATGGGTACTGGCATAAAAACAGACACTAAGATCAATGGAACAGAATAGAGAGCCCAGCAATAAACCCTTATAAATACATTCAGCTAATATTTGACAAGGGAACCAAAAATACTCAATGAAGATAAGATAGTCTCTTCAATAATGGTGCTGGGGAAACTGGATAGTGACATGCACCAGAACAAAATAGGATCCTTATCTTACAAACTCACAAAAATTAATTTGAAATGAATTATAGACTTAAACATAAGCCTGAAACCACAAAACTAGGGAGGAAAAATGGAAAAAGCTCCTTGCCATTGCTCTTGGCAACTTTTTTTTTTTTTGGATATTACATCAAAAGCCAAGCAATAAAAGAAAACTCAGTAAGCAGGACTACATCAAAGCAAAGGCTTCTGCATAGCAGAAGAAACAATTAGCAAAATGAACAGCAACATATGGAATGAGAGAAAACATTTGCAGACCGTCTATCTGATAAAGGGTTAATATCCAGAATATATAAGGAACTCATACAACTAACTCAATATCAAAAAACAAACAGTCTTATTAAAAAATGGACAGAAGACTTGAATAGAGATTTTTTTTCTAAAGAAGACACACAAATGGCCAACAGGTACATGAAAAGATGTTTAACATCACTAATCATCAGGGAAATGCAAATCAAAACGACAATCAGGTATCTCCTCACACCTGTTAGACTGGTCATTACCCAAAAGGCAAGAGGTAGTGAGTGTGGGTGACGATGTGGAAGAAAGGAAGCCCCCGTGCACTGCGGGGAATGTGA